TTGTTGAAGCCAAAAATATGACTACTACTAGCGTAAAAATTTGTTTCATTACAAAATGAAGAGAATACAGGAGACACGTAGTTAACTATATTGAACAAGGTAAATAGCTCACTTTATTTTGTTATTATAATTATTATTATTATTTTAGTAACCGAGGTGTTTGGGTCAGTTCGGGCACACTTCAACTGATTTTTGGAATCTATTAAATACTCTACAAGCCCAATAAACCAAGTAAATTACAAATATGATGGATAATTATGTTGTGAAACTCAAATATAAGGCTTTTGAATAACTTATCCAAATAGCTAAAGTCTTATCGTCTGGCCACAAGGCTGGTGGTTAATAGCTCACTTATTATTACCTTCACGCCTTCAATTAATTAATTCTTATTACAAGAATTTGCGCACTTAATTCTTTTTCTTGTGGATAACTTCTTTGTCATCTTAAACACTTCTCATTTTGTAACTTCTCCAGCAAACTAATGTGCATACGTCTTTCATAAAAACATGTATATAATTTCTCCAATTAGTGGCAGCTTCCATGGCTCTAGTGGGTAACCTTGAACTTAACTTCTTTGTTCTCAATTGCTTAAACGCAACGAGGGTGAAGATGAAGATGGAAATTTAGGAACAGCAAATGTTAGCATGTGATCCATGGTTAATTACTTAATTTGATATACAACCCAAACCAAATGGTCAACAATGCAAATTAATCAATCTAATAAGATTGGATACCTCTTCTTAGCAAGGAGAAAAGACCTTTGAGCAAAGTTAAAATCATGAGTTTTCATTACTTATTTAGCAGCTTCGGGTGAAGAAACCACAAGGGTTGAAATTTTGTTTGGCTGATGTTGTAAAGAGACAGTGGAACGGTGCATTTTTCCGATGAGTGGCAGCTTCCATGGCCCTGCCGGTGGTAATCTTGAACTTTATTTTGCATTTGGATCGTTTCCCTATCTTTATTACCATTACCGTGAATATAAAGATCATATATATGTATATATATAAAAGAAAATGAAATTAACATTTTCATTATGTAATAAGTAGTAGGAAAATTTTGGGAGCAAGCTTCACTGGTGAGCAAGCCAAGGAATGAGTTTGAAAGGACCTAGCTTATAAAATGAAGAGGAAGATGGAGAGACATAATGTACTGTATTAAACAATGTACAAACTGAAACAATCTAGAGTAATACGAAATCAAAAACAATAAACACACACAAGTAAAGAGAAAGAAGAATACGCGCAATTTACCCTAATTCACCCAATTTATAAGCTACGATTAGCAAAGCCAATATTATTGTAATATCGTCTCACTTCTCTCATTATAATGACAGTAATTTATTATATGATTTGCTATTATACTCATACAAGAGAAAAATAAGTTTATATACTAGATTTAAAGAGTAAAACCTAGTAGTACAAAGATTCATTTTCCTAAACTCAAACCTAATTAAAAATTAATTACTTAGAGAAATCCTACAACAGTTATTTATAGAATAGGCCCAAACCACCTATGGGCCCAGGATCCCTAATGCGTCTGCATGACCTCTTATGGTTGAAGTGATTGACAACTCCAACACAAACCTTCACAGCTTCATCAATTTATATAATCTCCTATTATGCAATTTTGGTCTTGTTTTCTATTAGATATTCATTCTTATTACAAAGAAGTTACACACTTTTGTTCCTTATAATTGATACCTTCTAGATCATCTTAAATATTTAGTACAAGCAAAAAAGCATGAAACTATTCATCTAGCTATGAGTGAAGTCAATAAAAATGTATTACTTCGTACTCTATTAGAAAATCGGTTTAAAGCTAAGGGGAACAGTCATCGTTTTACACTGCTAAACATGTCGTTTTGAAGGAACAATGACAAAGTAAACAGTGTCAGTCGAGTATCAGGTAAGGCTGGTCGTTTTATGGAAAGATGAAAGACGCATGCTTTATTATTGTAACACTACATTACTGCACACAATCAAGGGATGGTCATGGGAGAAATTCTAGATGGAAGATAGTTAAAACTAGTATATATATCAGTTGTTTTCTATTTTCAATATTTGTTATATACTTCAAATAAGCCCAAGATGTCCATTTGTCATATATTAATAAGAGAGGCATAACTTCAGCCGAGAATGATGGAATTGATCAGTAACTAAAACTTAATGAGCAAACCAAAGGAGTGAGCTACACTTGGAGAGTTGATAACATGGAAGAGTAGTATTTGGGAGCTGGATAAGTGCTATAGTCTGTCTCTGAGTAACTCTTCAATCTTCTGTATTCTAAATTCCGTGTGAGATTGAGAATTAGAATTGCCATAACTATGATGCAAGATATGTTAATTCGAAGAATTCCATTCAATAAAGTTCTTATGTTCCTCTCTAGCCTTGGATCATTGAAACCAACTTATTTGTACTGCCTACTGCAAATTTGGGCGGAAAATGGGTACTGGAATACCTTTCCCCCAAGTATTGTTACTGTTTAAAGATGTACTTTAAATTCACATAGCATGTTTCAAGAGCCACAAGATGGAGTTTGTTTTCCAGTGTCAGTAGGTCTTTAAAGGCCAGGGCTGTAGCGGAAACTTTCCAAGTCCTTGCATTCTAAGAAATCAGTTATATGAAGATATGTTCATTTTGGGCCTACGCAGGCCCGTATGGTTTCATTTGGGTTTCATCCAACAAGTTTATCTAGCTTTGTTCCACAATTGGGACGACTGACTTCAAGTATTTTAATCATGAAGGTTGTTTCGTCAACCTTTCCTTTAAACAGAGGACTTTCCTCACTTGTACTAGTGCCTTTTCCATAACTTTTTTCATTTTTCAAGATTAAAACATTATGCCGCACAAGCAACGGAAGCCACTAATGGTTCATTACCTACTGATTCAGTCGTCAATTTTGAAGGAAGGAAACATCTCAGCTGTCACTGTTAGGAGATCGGATAGCAAAAAAAAACATACACTTGAGATTATAACATAGGAATAAAATCACACCACACAAAAAGATACAACTTTATGTGGTTCAGTATAACCAGTCTACATCCATACACATGATATACAAGAGTACACAATATCATAAACTCAATACATAATTAATAGAACAGAAACAATCTCAGTTTTTAAGACACTCTACCCATGATGTTTAATAACCCTTACATCAAATACTTTGTATTCCATATTATCTCATAACTTTAAATTGGTTCTCACTTTTATATTATAGGTAAGATATAAGATATTCCATTGTAATAGAATTCATATTTAAATTCCTAATAAGATTTCTAAATTAACTCTTATTATATAATTGTATTCTTATTGAATAGTTTTCTAAAAACATATAATTTCACATGAGAACAAGCACGAAAGTTAGCCACAATATCCCAATAATAACACCCCAAACTGACATACAGTAAATGTACCACTCCCTAACAATTCAACTTAGCCTACAATTATTGATACTTAACAAAAAAACTCCCAGATAAAAAAACTTATAGAACTGCAATTTTAAAAACCTTACAAATTATACCACTCCAAAACCTTAAGTTTAAACACAAATGAAACTAAATCCAGCAAGAAATTAACCTAATATTGGCCGCAATTAAGTCCCTACGGAGAGATATTACAGTACTGAATAAGGTCATAGCTCAATTGATATCCTCCGCACCATTAAATTGTTTACTCTTATATTCCCTTATACATTATTTCTTATTACAACAAATTACACGCTTATATATCGGTTGTGGCCAAATGGCAAGCCCTTTAGCCACTGGGTTAGCAATACTCAAAGGCTTTATATTCGAGTAAGAGGAGAGGCACCTATTACAATTGTGCAATTTTCTTGGTTCATTGGGCTTGTAAAGTGTTCCATAGCCTTGAGGATTGGCGAGCTCGACCGGCAAGTGTACTCGGATACCTTAGTTATTAAAAAAATAACAAATAAAATAAATAAAGTTACATCGCTTCTATCTCTTATTTATTGATATCTTCTAGACCACATTAAATATTTAGTACAAGCCACAACATGTAACTGCTGAAGCAAACTAATATGCAGATCTATAACAGCATATAATTTCTCCAATTAGCAAGGAGACACAGGATGATAAGGAACTGGAACTAATTCAAGGTCCTTTTTTCTTCGCACTGCGAGACCAAAACCCTCACTCATGTCAAGATCTTCTAGCTTTTCTCCACTGGGAAGTTTCCAACCAAAAGATATAGCAACTGGGCCATGGAAGCTCCACATTGGCTACACCCATTGTTATGCCAGGACAAACTCTCCTCAGCTCCAAATGGGATGATTCAAATGAGCCCCCTTGTAATCAATTGAACTGTCTAGAAATCTCTCAGGATAGTACTTCTCAGCTTGGCTCCAATGATTGGTATCCCTCCCTATTGCCCATGCATTTACCAACTTTAGTCTTGACAGGTATTTCGTATCCGAAAATCTCACACTGCTTCCTACATTCCCTTGGAAGTAGCAACGGAGCAGCGGGGTGTAATCTCATAGATTCTTTGATTGCTGCCTTCAAAAATTCATTCATGAAGCCCTTCTTCATCAACTGTTCCTTTCATACGGAACACATTCCTCACCTCTGCTTGTGCTTTCTCCATGGCTCTTGGATTTTTTAGCAATTCGACCATTGCCCATTCTACAGTTGTAGAAGATGTATCACTCCCAGCAGTGAAAACGTCCTAAAATAGCAGAGTAGATATTTTAGCAAAGATTTTACTAAATATCAGTTTGAACTAAGCTGAATCTGATACGAATAAAAGATAATTAAACATACTAACCACGTGACTGCTTTGATGTTGTCATTACTTAAGGTGAATTCATGGTCTCCATTATTCTGCAAGTTCAAAAGAACGTCTAAGAAATCTTTAGATCATCATCCCCTCACGCTCATTTGTCTTCCTTGTTCCCTTCTACTTTATGCTCACTCGATAATGGCGTCAAACAATCTATCAACTCTGTCATGAATCTCCTTAATTTTACTCTTTACCCCACTATGAGTCAATAAATTCGAAGGAAGGAAACACATCAGCCGCAGTGAAACCTCCTGCCAGATCTATACCTTCTTGAATAGCACATAAGAATGCCTCTTGATCTTTCATTTTTCCTCCAAACGCCGCTCTCGTCGTGATTCCAAACGTCATCGAAAAGATTTCTCTGCTAAGATTAATCGTTCCTCCTGCCCTTGAAGAAATCCTTCGAACAAGATTGGACACCTCCTCTTCCCGGATTGATCTGAAAGATAGCACAGATTTTGGAGTTAAAAGTTGACTAATGCAAATCTTTCGCAACTGCTTCCAGTAGTACCCATATGGTGCAAACACAATGTCTGTGCAACCATAAGCTATAATATCTGCAACAAGAACAGCAGGCCTTTGAGCGAAGTTAACATCATGAGTTTTCATCACTTCTCGAGCGGCTTCAGGCGAAGAAATGATAACAGTTGGAATTTGGCCGAGTTGTAAGTACATAACAGGACCATATTTATTTGCCAAATCTCTTAGCTTGCGATGAGGCAAAACGCCAATGAAATGGAGCATGTTTCCGATAAGTGGCAGCCTCCATGGCCCTGGTGGTAACCTTAAACTTGATTTCTGGTTAAGGAACCTAAATGCAATGAAGGTGAAGACGAAGATGGTAAATAGGATAAAAATAGGGGTTTTGAAGCTCCATGATAGTTGGGAGATGGTGATCAATGTAGAGAGATGAGTGGTTAATTTCTCTACTTAATTATGTTGGATCCAACAATTGGATTACAATCTTTTTTATATGATTTATTTGTTATTTTTATGATAATTTTTTTTATAACATAGGGAATGGTTTATTCAAATAGAATTTAATTTATGAATATTGAAAAGGTTTGACTTATGAACTTAGACAACAATAACTTATGAAACAAACACATTTTACATGAATTATACAGTAACTTATGAAGCAAACACATTCTACATAATTTACAGCAATAACTTAACAGGCATCAAAAAAATTTGTTCAACTGGTACTTAACAGAACTTCCAAAGATTTTTGTTGTTCAATTCTTACGAATTGTAAATACCTTCCCTGGTTTGAGAATACTCGACCTTTCCCACAATCAATTTACTGGTCCTTTGCCAGTAAATTATTTTAACAATTTTGTGGCTATGATGCCTTCGTCCATGGATGATATTGAAGTCATGTATATGGAGTATCTTGATGGCAAATATTATTCAGTAACTTTGTCAATCAAAGGAGTTGAAATGGAAATGGACAGGATTCTAACCATTCTCACAGCAATAGATTTGTCCGACAACCTGTTTGAAGGACCAATTCCAGAGGTGATTGGAAAGCTACAGTTACTCAAACTGCTCAACTTCTCTCACAATAGCTTAACTGGTGATATACCATCGTCATTGGTAAATTTGACACAACTTGAAGCATTAGATCTCTCTTACAACAAGCTCGTTGGAAATATTCCAATGCAATTGACAAGTCTAACATTTCTTTCAGTGCTAAACTTGTCATACAATCAGTTTGTGGGACCTATACCTCAAGGAAAGCAATTTGATGCATTTCCAAACGATTCCTTTATTGGAAACTTGGGTTTGTGTGGATCAACGTTGTCAAAAAAATGCAGCAATGATACGGCACCAAGTCCATCACCATCAATGGTCCTTGAAGAAAACAATGCTTCAAGCTGGTTTGATTGGAAAATTGCCTTGATGGGATACGGATGTGGATTGGTACTTGGCATATCTATTGGTTACATTGTGTTCTCAACAGGTAAACCACAATGGTTTGTGAGATTGATTGAAAGAGAGGGTGGTCCGAAAAAGGTGAGAAGTCTGAATAGGGGAAGTAGAGGAAGAAGAAATTAGCATCTGAAAGTTGCTCTTCAATTTTGTAAGTGCTCTAATCCTCTTGTAGCTATAAATTGTGTTTTCTTCCTGACAGCTTTATCATAATGAACACGGCTAGAAAAGAGTCCTTGAATTCATATTTAATCCAACAATTTTTGAGATTATCACACTTTGTTTTTCTTCTCAGANATTTTGATACCTCCTCTTCCCGGATTCCTCCGAAAGATTGCACAGATTTGGGAGTCATAAGCTGAGTAATGCACATCTTTCGTAGCTGTTGCCAGTAGTTTCCGTATGGTGAAAACACAAGGTCTGTGCAACCATAAGCTACAACATCTGCACAAAGAAGAGGAGGCCTTTGAGCGAAGTTAATATCATTATTTTTCAGCACTTCTCTAGCGGCCTCAGGCGTAGAAACAATAAGAGTTGGAATTTCACCGAGCTGTAAGTGCATAAGAGGACCATGTTTTTTCGCCAGGTCTCTTAGCCTGTGATGAGGCTCACAGTTAACGAAGTGGTGCATGTTTCCAATAATTGGCAGCTTCCATGGCCCCGGCGGTAATCTTGATTTCTTGGTTATGGAATTCTTCAATGCAATGAAGGTGAAGAATAAAATGGCAAGTGGGATCAGAAAATAGGGGTTTTGGAGCTCCATGAGAGTTGGAAAATGATGATCGATGTAGAGATATTGAGAGGTTTCACGACTTTGTTGTTGGGTCGAACTATACATGTATCAGTTATTTATACACTTTATTTGGGGTTAATAACACGGGAGAACGACTTACATAAACCCAAGGTTTATTGAAACGATAAGTTGGTACCCAAAAAGTTTTGAAATAACAAATAGGTACCTTCTATCATGTTCTGTTAGTGATTTCTATTTATTAATAGTGAAAAGACTAAAATACCCTTGACAGTTTATTATTTTAGTTTTTTATAAATTTAAAATTTTTCAAAAAACCCCCTAAGTTTGCTAATTTAACCAAACACCCCCATATATAAAAAGTTTGATAAATAACAAAAACATCCCCACCACCCGCAGTGCCCGATTCCGGCCACCACCGCCTGAATCTACCAGAAAATTGCGTTACGACACAGATCCATCGGATCTGTGTCTTAAAGTGTCGATCTGGCCTTTTCCGGCCAGATCCGTGGCTGATCTGGTCGGAAAAGGCCAGATCTATGGCCAAATCTGGCCGTCGACGCCGCAAATGGAGTTTTGCGGCACGACGGCCAGATCTAGTCGTAGATCTGGCCTTTTCCGGCCAGATCAGCCACGGATCTGGCCGGAAAAGGCCAGATCTGGCCGTCATGCCGCAAAACTCCATCTGTGGCGTCGACGGCCAGATCTGGCCGTAGATCTGGCCTTTTCCGGCCAGATCAACCATGGATCTGGCCGGAAAAGGCCAGATCGACACGTTAAGACATAAATTTGATGGGTCCGTGTCGTAACGCAATTTTCCGGCCAGATTCTGGTGGTGGTGGCCGAAATCTGGCACTGCGGGTGGTGGGGGGTGTTTTTGTCATTTAACAAACTTTTATATATGGGGGTGTTTGGTTAAATTAGCAAACTTAGGGGTTTTTTTGGAAATTTTTAAATTTATAAAAAACTAAAATAATAAACTGTCAAGGGTATTTTAGTCTTTTCACTATTAATAAACAGAAATCACTAACAGAACATGACGGAAGGTATCTATTTGTCGTTTCAAAACCTTTTGAGTACCAACTTGTCGTTTCGATAAACCTTGAGTATGCGCAAGTCGTTCGGCCTAATAACATTAACCTAGGTTAGATAAAATATAAATATTCTCCTGACATTTCAGAAATAACAGAAATTCTCTTACTGTCAAGTTATTTCATTTATTAAAATAATCGATATTCAGGGGGTTTATTGTTATATCAAATTCAGGGGGTTTATATCTTTTTAACCCTTTTATTAGAATTTTATAATGTTTTATTATCTCTAAAACAGATGAACTATTGTTTTACAAGGTGGTGACAAGGTGGCGTATAAGGTGGCGCATAAAATGGTTTTTTAATACATAGAATTTAATTAAATAAAGGGTTGTCGCTTGCACTATTGTAGTGGAATGAGATAAAATAGCATATACAAAGATTCTTTGAATATTATAAGATTTTAATTAAGTTTAAACAATAATTAAAATTTTCTAAAGTTTTATGGTTCTTCTACCAATCATAGAAATTCTTTTATTTTTTTATAAACACTACAGCCGGGCGAATCCAGCCGCTTTGAGAGTAGGTCTGGGCCTACCCTCAGATTTTAAAAAAGATATTATTAATATATAGGCCCACACAAAATTGTTATTAATATATATATCCAATCTCACCGTTAGATTTAAAAAAAAATGAGAATTATTATACATATAATTATGTCCACAAAGAACTATATATAAATATATATAATTGTGTTCCCTCTGGTATCAGAGCCTGGGAGGAGGCAGGGATTTAGGATTGTTAAAATTTTGTTTATTAATTATTTTGAGTACCGAGTCATTTTGGGTTGTGTAGGGCTGTAGGATTTTGCCGTTGTAAGCCCCTTAGATCAACCACTGTAGGGAAAGAAATAGGTGATATACAAAATGGAAAACTTTTCTAGATCAATGTCTACTTCTAGTTCAAATACTAGAGATGAATAGATTGTTCATCAAGAAGAGATTTGTATAAATCAAAATGACAACATAATTGAAACAAGTCATGCTTGTACACAAAAAGATAAACAGGTCATAAGACCTCAAGATTTACAAAAACATTTTGATAAATGGAACATTCCTAAAATTTCTGTAACAGATGTTTACAAAGAAGGAAAATTATCAAGTCTCAATAGAGTTAACCCTTTAAACAAATCAAAATACATAATTAAAACAAAAGAAAAAACTCTTAAGATAAACAATTCTTCTCAAATCACTCAATTATTATCTAAGGAAATGGTTAAAAAATACAAAAAGAGTTATAATTATCTTCATATAGGACTTGTCCAAATAGGAATCAAACCTCTAAGCATTGAAGGCTTAGACACTGCCATCTTTGCCTGTNTGTTAGTAAACTGATTAATGAAGTTGTTAAAGCTGTTAATCAGTTTAAGAAGTCTGTTAGAAAAGTTGTTAAGTCAGTTTTACCGTTGTAACCTTGCAGTCTGTTACGTTCTGTTTTACGTCTCTTTGCAGTCTGTTTTACGTTCTGTTTTACATCTCTGTAACTGTTTTAAATTCTGTTTCTGCTTTACGTCTTTTGCTCTGTTTTTACTATAAATGTCAGCTTGCTGGACTTCTCCATATATAATGAAAAATACCGAAGTATTTCAGTTCTTCTTTTTCTTTGTTCTTCCCTGTTTTCGTCATACCTTTCACAGCCTGTGATGAGGCTCACAGTTAATGAAGTGGTGCATGTTTCCAATAATTGGCAGCTTCCATGGCCCCGGCGGTAATCTTGATTTCTTGGTTATGGAATTCTTCAATGCAATGAAGGTGAAGAATAAAATGGCAAGTGGGATCAGAAAATAGGGGTTTTGGAGCTCCATGAGAGTTGGAAAATGATGATCGATGTAGAGATATTGAGAGGTTTCGCGACTTTGTTGTTGGGTCACACTATATATGTATCAGTTATTTATACACTTTATTTGGGGTTAATAACATTAACCTAGGTTGGATAAAATATAAATATTCTCCTTACATTTCAGAAATAACAGAAATTCTCTTACTGTCAAGTCATTTCATTTATTAAAATAATCGATATTCAGGGGGTTTATTGTTATATCATATTCAGGGGGTTTATATCTTTTTAACCCTTTTATTAGAATTTTATAATGTTTTATTATCTCTAAAATAGATGAACTATTGTTTTACAAGGTGATGACAAGGTGGCGTATAAGGTGGCGCATAAAATGGTTTTTTAATACATAGAATTTAATTAAATAAACGGTTGTCGCTTGCACTATTGTAGTGGAATGAGATAAAATAGCACATACAAAGATTCTTTGAATATTATAAGATTTTAATTAAGTTTAAACAATAATTAAAATTTTCTAAAGTTTTATGGTTCTTCTACCAATGATAGAAATTCTTTTATTTTTTTTATAAACACTACAGCCAGGGCGGATCCAGCCCCGTTGAGAGTAGGTATGGGCTTACCATATTATTAATATATAGGCCCACACAAAATTGCTATTAATATATGTATCTAAACTCACCGTTAGATTTACAAAAAAAAAAAAAAAAGAATTATTATACATATATTTATGTCTATAAAAAACATGTTATATATATATATATATATATATTTATATTCCAAGCCCACGTCATCTTAAAAGTGTAAAACTCTCTCCACTCTTTTTCTCCACGACTCCACTTGCTTTTTATGATTTTATACCTAAAATTCTTATGAACTAGTAAGAGAGGATTAAAACTTAGACAACAATAACTTATGAAACAAACACATTTTACATGAATTATAACAACAACTTACTATGCAAACATATTCTACAAAATTTATAGCAACAACCTAACAGGCATGAAAACATTTTTGTTCAACTATGTACTTAATAGAACATTCCAAAGATTTATGCTGTTCAATATCTTACCGAATGGTAGATAATTTGTGAGGGACTACTGTCACCAACTACCCAAAAACTAACATATTAGAGATTATTGATTTCGTATATAGCTAATCTAGATGATAAATCTCATGTGTTGATGAACTTCTATTTTAAATTATTGATAATACTTGATGAAGCCAAAAATATGACTACTACTAGCTGTAAAAATATGTTTCATTACAAAATGAAGAGAATATAAGAGACACATAGTTAACTATATTGAACAAGGTAAATAGCTCACTTAAGGTGGCGCATAAAATGGTTTTTTAATACACAGAATTTAATTAAATAAAGGGTTGTCTCTTGCATTATTGTAGTGTAATGAGATAAAATAACATATACAGAGATTCTTTGAATATTATTTAAGGTTCTTCTACTAACCATAGAAATTTTTTTTTTTATAAACACTCCAGCTCAATCCAAGACATGATTTATCTGCTAAATTGTAATATTATAAGAGAATTTTAACTTAGAAGATGATCCATTTGGTTCTTCAACATTCTACATGAATTACAGCAATAACTTCGTAAGCAAACATAAATCTAGTAATTTCTGCCATTATATAGTGAAGACAAACACTCATTACTTTGACATTTGATTTTAAGTAATTTAATCCACGTTTAAAATAATTGTTTGTATATATAATCAATGATTTTTTTTTTTTTTTTTTTTTTTTTTTTTTTTGCAAATATTAAACTTTCTCCAAATTTATCGTTTTTACTATGTAAAATGTTGATGCAGTTATTTGCACCAACGAAAAGTACATAAATTCCATGATGAAATCTACATAAGGAATTTGTATGAAACCTGCGATGCAATATTGGATCAATGAATGAATCAAAAACGCAAACGATAAGAGATTTTTAAAGTAGTTGGAATGCTAGATGCAAGTTCTACGTCCACTGTTTTTGTATTTCTTTTTATGTTTTTTTTTCTTTTTCACATACAAGTGTGGCTTGCAAAAAAAAAAATCGATCCCTAATTTGGGTGAAAAATAAGATTATATATTGTTACAATGATAAACATGTAAATAAAGTTAACCCTAAATGTAATAACACGTGGCATGAATCCGCGCTCTAGGGATTGACAGCACGACATGAAACATTATCTTTTTGACA